TGGGGGTCGCGGGTAAAAGAAAAAGACAAGTGTTTGTAGGTCCTACACTACATTAAAAAAAACTACAATTTCAGCGAGAAGGCTGTACCTGTTTATTATACAGTACAGTTGGTTTTTTGATTGACATTTAGGTCCGAATGATGGGTGTCGCCTGGGAGGGGCCTGGGTGGGTATGGCCCACCCCAGAAAATGATTGCTGAAAAAGTGTTGAGCTGACTTGTAAAAAGAAGTAATAAGTAGAGAAGTAGAAGTGAAAAACCCTCATCCTAAAAAAAAAGTCAACAGCACTCCGAACCCATTGTTATTACAAGAAGGAAGTAACATACTATACGTGTCTTAAGTTATTGTCGATTCTCCTTAAATTCTCATTTTAGTCATCAACAGTAATTTCTCTCAACAGAAAGAAAATTAAATACATAATTTTTTAAATCACTGATATAGTTTTAATATGGCCCTAGGGGGGTCGCCAGAATTTTTTAACTTGTAAAGGGGTCGCGTATTCAAAAAGGTTGAAAAACACTGGGATAAAACATCAATTTTACCGAATAGTCTACGGCCCTGTACATACTAGGCGTTTTCCAACGCGCGTTTTAAAAAACCAAGAGTTCTATGTAGCCGTACACACTCAAACGCCAAGCGCGCGTTTATAGATTTTTGTTAAAACGCGCGTTTTGCGGGCGCTTTGAGATATATGTGCTGCCTTATAGCGACGATGGAGGAGCACACACAATCAATTACTTTCTCGTCCATTTCCAAACTGAGCCAGTGCTAAACGCCGAGCTAACGCGCGTTGAAAAACGCCTAGTGTGTACAGGGCCTATTTCTCCACTGTGCTTGCGTGTTTTGTCGTCACAATTGCCGCCTACCTCATTTGCATACACTCTTCAGGTGATTACGTTTCTTCATTTTCCAGCCGAGAGTAAACTCTAGACGTGACAAACTGTTTAAAATTTAGTTATGGATAAAGGTGATGATTCAATAGTACTTTTGACGTTTTCCGAGACTATTTGCTGTTCCGCATTTTCAACGATTAGTGGCATTCTCCGGGGATACTGCGAACGGTAAGTTAATCTTTGAATATTATTTTTACGGTCGAGAGCGTGGAGTAGTCCCAAAGCATAACAAACAAACGCAGGGAAAACAGAATTTCTATTTTCACCCAAATATGTGTAAGGAAAACAAAACGGAAACTGTTTTATTGCGTTAAATTACAGCAAGGGTGGGCACAGTAGTAACAAGTTTTGCTGCCAACAATATACGCGAAGAGAAACAGGCGAGCAGTAACTGCATGAGGGGTATCGTAAAATACCGGCCAAATTAAAAATAAATAATTGTATATAAAATGAAGTAAATATATTTAAAAAATTGTTTAACTTTAATAAAACATTAACATTATTACTTTAAAACTCGACATCAGTCAAAACAGTCATAAGAGGGTGAAAAAATCGATAATAGAGTGCCAAAAAAGATTGAATCGAACGTGTCTGGAAAGCTAAACGAGGATACAAACACGTATAAAGGGTGTTTTGATAAAATAGAATGAACCAGAGATGGATGTGCAGGTAAATATTCTCTACTATATACTGTACTATTTGAAGTAGAAAGTATGTTGACGTAAAGTAGATTGACCTAATTATAAATTTTTTGACTACGTTTTCTTGCCCTTAACGAGAACTCCCAAAAATATTTAAAAATGAACGCAAACTGTAAGCATAAAACAAATAGTCTGATCAATTTTAAGTCTAAAATCGTGAAAATGACAGTTAATAGAAATATAAATATTAATAACATTTACGAATAAATAATAATCAAAACCGAATTAAAATAGTATTTATAATCAGTCCCTTAAAAAGGAAAAAAGAAATATGAGTTAATTAAAAATGAGAAAATTTCATATATTAAAAGAATTTCGAATGATTACAGTTGACTTTCCCTATGTTCAAGCCAAACTTATGCCGTGAAGCGATTGAAGCGCTCGAAGTGGCAGAAATATTTATTACGCCACTATCGTAACATTAGAGCTATTGGCAGCGCAAGGACCAGTACAGTACAGTCAGTAGATTTTACAATACGTGTGCCGGACTGTGAACGGCTCACGTATTTGTAAAATCGAAGTGACTCGTACAACATGGAATTCATATAAAACGGAATTATCAACAGTGTTATAGGGGAATCGATTGTACATATCGGCTCTGCTTTTACTTGCTTCAAACTGTATGCAGTCTCTAATTTTCTTTATGCTGACATTTGTAGTCTTCTTGTCATGTAATATTTTCTGCCTGAAGTTGGTAAATAATTTTCACTCGTCTAGTCTATGGAGGATGTCGTCAATTTTAGTTGGGCAATGTTTACATTTGTTCGTATTGCATAGAGTATGATTGAATAGAAATTGGTTTCTGATTAGGGTATTTGTCCGTGCCCTGTTTATTGGGTTATTGTATGGCGATTGATATTATCGGACTGTTTGGCTTAATCCAGTTGTAAAACCATGGAAAATTGTGATTGTGATAATTTGTCCAATTTTCTTGGATACATCGAGCCCCGTCCCTCATCACTCGGTCGCCCCATTGTGAGCCTGGCCGAACTCAATGGACCTGCTATAAGAGGCCCTCTTAGTGCCTACAGGGTGGAAAGAGTATTTTTTAAAAATATGCTCAGTCGTTTTATTTTCGTTCAAATATTCTTATTGATCTACTGGTATATTTAAACTGGGATTAAGATAAATAAATATTGTTAATTGAATTTTTTGTTAGAAACAAACGAAGAAATAAAAAACGCATTAATAAGGGGAAAACAATTTCTGTATAAATAGATTAAAACTTTAATATTTTAAATTAAGATTTTCATTAAATTTTAACGCGAAATTATCGTTCCGACGCCGCCAAAAATATTCCAAGAGTAGAAATTGCGCCACGTCCTTAAAACTGGAGACGTCGAAGTTTACGTAACTCGATTCTTTTCCTCTCTAACTGCTTTTCCAGTTCTTTAATCTCTTTACACAAGACGTCGATCCGTCCCAGTATGGCGCCGCTCTTTCGACTTTTTCTGCGCTTCCTGCCGTCGTCGTCGTCCTCTTCGCTCGACACGTCGCTAAGAATAATCTCTTTCTCGTTCATTAAATCGTGAATGTCGATGCTGGCTCGATGGCGGAACAACAGTTTTTTTCTGTCTTCCGACTTTCTTTCCGCGCGGACGGGCTCCAATTCGGCCACGGAAGAAAGTGACCGCGCGGATCTCAGAAAAGACGTTTTTCTACGACGATCGGCACTCGGGTCTTCTTCCGATTTGCAGTTGGAGTGGATTTTGCCGCAGTTCTTCAGAGAGCCGAAGATCCTCACGTGGTTAACTTCGTCCGATTCGTATTCTCCTTCGGAAGTGACGATCGGAGACGAATCGTTGTCCCATTCCTCCAGGAGNTTATTTATCCTCGATTTTGCATTTAGTACCTACTCTCAACCAATTAACCAACGTCCAATTATAGGTAATGCGAAATGTTTGGGAAAAATTTATTCGGGGATTTTTTCTAATGAAATCTAATTTTGATACGAAAATAGGGATTTTAGCCCAGAAGGAGTATGGAAATGGAGTAAAATACGGATCGAGTTTCATAGCTGCTTCCTATGTAAAGTTCTTAGAAGCAGCTGGAGCAAGAGTTGTTCCTATATTGTAAGTATGTCTTCATTTCGCGTGATTCATTCTCTCAATGTATAAAAATAAACATATTTTGATACCCAAAAGTTTGTTAAAATGTAAAATTTATGCCTCCTTTTTTTTTATTGTTTAAAATAATTTGAGTTATTTTTTTTTTCTGTAGAGTGAACAAGACACAGGCATATTATGAAGATCTATTCATCTCTCTCAATGGGTAATGCATAAACATTTATGTTTAATTTGATTATTTGCTTCTAATCTTTGATATTTTATAAAGTTATGTTAATAGCTCACAAAGAAAATTTTATTAAATTGGTTTTATAACATGTTAAACGTAAATCTTTTATTAATTTTATGACTTTTTTTCAATTCTTTCTGACCTATACGCATTAATACAGCCTACTTTACAAACCCGTTACGGTTTGGCCGGTTGGCGAGGGATGAGCGTGACATATCCGGATGGACCACTCCGAAAAATCCCCGGGGTTTTTCGACCCGTTCGGATTTGATCTGGATATATCACACTCGTTCCCATCACCCATCCGCCCCATTGTGAATCTTACCAAATCTATAAGGAACATGGAAATAAAGCCTTTTTGAATGCCCACAGAGTAAAGAGCAAAAGATAAAAACAAAAATCGAAGGTTATACGGAAGCTCCTTGTTGATCAATTAAATATGTTTTCGAAACTAAAAATTTCTTTTGCACTAGGTTTGAAATGCGAAAAACGATAATAAAATTTATAGTTTGAGCTCTGAAAATTTTAAAGAAATTAATAATTATCAAATATTTACTTCTATTGGAGTATTTATGCTCCCTCCACAGCTGGGTGGTTCTCACAAAACAGCATGGCAATAAAATTTCCTCTTGTTTCAACTTTTGATAACATATAAAGCAGCTTGGTACTATTCTAAATAATAGGTGATTGAAATGACTTAACAGCAGCGGCACCTGCAGATTTTGAAAAAGGAAGCCCAAGTTATAAAAAAGGCACAATACGCAAGGAGCATCGTACTATGATTGAACGTCAGATTAGCGCTCCCACAAAATTGTGCCGGTTGCTCGGTGCTAACTTGGTCTTGAAAACAAGGAATAGGTTTTTGGTCAACATACGACGAAGTTGCATGGGTTAATCGTTCATTATTTTCTTTCATGTTTGCAGAATAGGCTAGAACACGGGTCGGCAACCTGCGGCTCGCGAGCCACATGCGGCTCTTTGGATGTGAAGCTGCGGCTCTTTAGTTCCATACGCAAATATTATTTATTTTATCAAAAAAAAAACATTTAAAAATCGTTCTGAATCGATTAACGAGGATTAGGCACTGATTCTATCTCTCAGCCACTTGTACTCGCTTTTCACCGCACCCCTCTCCCGTGACACGTCGTCACTGTCGTCAGTCTGTCGGAAGCTCTCGAATGACGCCGTCGTCGGATGTTTCTATTATCTAATTTGTTGTGAAAAACACTACTTATATATGAATAAATAGATATTTTTTCTGAATAAATAGATTAGTTTTTTTTATCAAAAAACTTTATGCGAGTACTATTTATTGTTGGCAAGAAAAAATTTTGTGGCTCTTTAAAAACTTTGAAATTTAGTAAATTGTAATTTTGGCTCTTCCGACTCAAAAGGTTGCCGACCCCTGGGCTAGAAGTCACGAATTTTGTTTGGAATTTTCTCGGGGATTAGGAAAATATCAACCGAGACGAAAAGGGGGACACGTGCCCCAATATACGGGCCTCCTGCTTACCAGGCATTGTTTTGCTTTTAATTTTATCGGGTTGTAAAGATAAAATTTAGATATTTTGATTTTTTTTCTAGAAACGACTGAAAAAATGTTCTAGAACGTTCGATATGGGTAAATAAGTAGAGTAACCTAAGGGAGTTTCATCACACATTTCACTAGAAATTTACGCTTCAGTCACGTCTGACACTATAACACTTTCGAACGAATGCATTTGCGTGCTGTTGCTCTATCACTTCAAAAGTAGCCACATTGAAACAAAAGCTCACGATTTCATTTACAAAACGTTTGTGGATGAACATAGGTCATCCAAAAACGGCAAATATCAAAGGGCCGATATTGCAGAAGAAGGCGATGATCTGCATTTGTTTGGAGTCATCATGATGGAATGGCTTCCAATCAAATCGCTGCCACGAAATAACTCTACTGTGAACAACTGGATCGTTTAAAAACCAAAATCAAAGAACTTCGTCCAAAAATCGGCAAAATAAGTTCGATACCGCCACAACAACGCGCCAGCAAATAGAACAAAAATTTCCTTAGAGAAGCTGGCCAGTAATGTTCTACCTCGTCCACCTCACGGCCCAGACTCGGAACCAACTGACTACTATCTCTTTCGCACCCTGCAGAACCATTTTGCCAAAATACATTCAATGGCGATACCCGACACTCTTTAACGAAAAACCAGTTATTCTATGCACGTGGTATTGAAAGTCTACGTCAAAGGTGGCGAGTTGTGACAGATATTGATGATGATTACCATCAAGCTGAACAGTAATCATATTTGAGTTGTCAATAAATTTTTTTGTCAAAATGTCTAAATTTTACCTTTACAATCGGATAGGTTCAATTCTATCCCCCTCTCATTCCACTCTCTGAGCACCAAAAAGGTCTTCTAATCATACTCATCACGAGTAAGGCCAGGCTCTTAAAATAGGGCGCGGGGTCCAATATACCGGAGACAGACCACCCCCATCCCACACCACCCTGCTGCCCCATTGTGGTCCTGGCCGAACGCATAAGCTTGCTAAAAGAGGCCCTCTTAGTGCCCACAGGGCGGGAGGATCCAATAAAAAACCCACTCTCAAAAAAGTTCCCGGAGTTTTTGACCACCCGGATTCGATTTCGGATCCCCCAGAGCGGTAGGCTGACTCCTCAACAAAGCCAATCTGTTCTATTTTTTTTAAAAAAGTTTTAATTTAATTAAAATATATCGTTTAATAGGGAAAAACTAACTACTATTTGATTTTATTCGTTTACAAAATAATAAAATTCATTCCGAGCGTTATTCGAAGATCATCACCGGATAATTACGCCATTATATAAACATCATGGAAGTTAGAAAGATTTAATTCGTGTTTGACCAGAAGTAATTATCATATGATTATAAAACGAACTTCGAGATCGATCTTCTTAGACAGATCCGTACTTAAAAAGTACAAGGACGATTTTCGCTATTTATCCACACATTCGGGTATCTCTCAATTCCTTTATCAATTATCCAAAGTCCGTTTGAATTATTTATCGTCGTTCGAAAAGTTTTCGAACTAAAAATGAAGCTTGCAGTAATTTTATTTATCCTCGATTTTGCATTTAGTACCTACTCTCAACCAATTAACCAACGTCCAATTATAGGTAATGCGAAATGTTTGGGAAAAATTTATTCGGGGATTTTTTCTAATGAAATCTAATTTTGATACGAAAATAGGGATTTTAGCCCAGAAGGAGTATGGAAATGGAGTAAAATACGGATCGAGTTTCATAGCTGCTTCCTATGTAAAGTTCTTAGAAGCAGCTGGAGCAAGAGTTGTTCCTATATTGTAAGTATGTCTTCATTTCGCGTGATTCATTCTCTCAATGTATAAAAATAAACATATTTTGATACCCAAAAGTTTGTTAAAATGTAAAATTTATGCCTCCTTTTTTTTTTATTGTTTAAAATAATTTGAGTTATTTTTTTTTTTCTGTAGAGTGAACAAGACACAGGCATATTATGAAGATCTATTCATCTCTCTCAATGGGTAATGCATAAACATTTATGTTTAATTTGATTATTTGCTTCTAATCTTTGATATTTTATAAAGTGTACTTTTTCCCGGAGGATCCGCACGTTTAGCTACGTCCGGTTACGGAAAAGCTGGTAAAATAATTTTTGACCTCGCTATTAAGGTAATATAAGAATTTTGATTTAAACTTTTGTTGTAAATTATAATGTAGTTATTATTTTATGTAGGCAAATGAACGGGGTGACTATTTTCCTCTATGGGGAACGTGCTTGGGATTTGAATTGCTAAGTTATTTGGCGGTGGATAAAAATCTTTTAAAATGGTGTTCTGTACAGGATGTTGCATTGCCATTAAATGCAACAAAAGGTAATTATGCTTTACATATTTAGACATATAAATTGTAATTTTTAGAAATTTCTCTCTTTTGCTATTCAAATCTATATTGTTTATTCGTGCAGATAATATACAGAATTAATTGCTGAAGATGTGTGATTTGTTACCTTATTTCTAATAAAATAAGTAGCAATAAAATTAAGTAAGCATTGTAAATCCTGTAATAGTAGATTGATAGTGGGTGTTTTTATTAATGACAAAACTTTACAGATATTACTAAGACACTAAGATAAATAAGATTTCTTAATGTATTAATATTTATTTTTTATTAACATTTTCAAAGCCACAAGACTTTATAATCAGGAACAATTTTTGTTTGACTTTGCATCTGATGATTATTATGTTGCTATTGTTATGGATGATAAAGATGATGATTTTTCATGGATAAATGGGAACAACCATTTCCAGTATAAAACTCCTTAAAAGCTCTGTTTTGAATAGGATATATTTTCAGCATTTAATATGGAAATATCATCTGATTTTTAATTAATTGGCAATAATGAGTGATTAATATTGGGAAACTGGCAACAGTTGCCCACCCAATATTAATCAAATGTCCATTTTGCACCCCTTTTTCAGTGTCATAAGTCACACCAGCCTTCCTTTTTTCTCCCCAATGCACATCTCAGTTATATACTTTGTCTCACTGTGCATTCCATGAATACTAGTTATCTCACATAAACAGATACTAAAAATATCATCTCTACTCACCATGTCCATTCATCAGGAACAAACTGTTCTCCACACTAGTTACCTCATTTATGTGAACATAATACTTTAGTAGGATGTAAATAAATGTTTGTTTTTATTAAGAACTTGGCTTATTGTCTCATTGACATACGACATTGATTGGCTTGTAGTTTTATTGTCCCGTATTGTAAACTATCTTTGGTTTACCAAAAATACAACAATCCAAATGGATTTAAAGGTTTAAGTGTACTGTACATGTAACTGTTCCGCATCATTTTCCACATGCATTCCAAGACTATTTTAAATAAAACATTATAATGAAATCAGACACTTAGTATTTAAGCTAAAATAATTGTTCAATAATACTGCCATGAGAAAATTACAAGGAAGGCAAATTTCAATTGATGCGAGGTTTAATATAAAGGAGGATTGCTAAATAGCTATAAAATATAAGTTTCATATAATTAATAACTCTGTTTATTGTAATCATATATTATGATTTGTTTAATGTTATATATTTTGGTCCTGTTAATTTTGATAAGTTAAAGTACATTCATTGTAATCAGAATTCAGTTATCACTACCACTTATCTTTCAGTAAATTAGCATTTTAAGCTTTTTTTCACACTATCAGCTTCAATATCTTATCAGTCTTATCCACTGCTTTAGACATTGATCTTGTTAATCATTATTTACTCAAAACACATTAGTTTAAATTGCTGGCATTTCTTACTTCAATTATACTCCAGTTGTTAAAGATTTCAGCAGACAGACAATACCCAATAAATTTAATATTAATTTATTAGCATAAAAGGTGGACACCCTGTTACTCAGGGACCAAGCAATGACAAAATACAGTAGAACCTCCATTATCCGGACCTCCATTATACGGATTTTCGATTATCCGGATTGTTCAAAATAAACAAAAATTTTACGAATTTGCTGATTTGCACTTGGCGAATTACGACACTGTTTATGTACGTGATGGAATGCATAACTTTTTTTGTTTCAACAACGTCTCACCCGGCACTGGTCGTAAACTCTTAAATATATTTTACGTAGTAATAAAAATATAACTTGACATACGTATTTATAAAT